GAATTGGTCAAAATCCTTAGCCATGAGGGAAATGCAAATCAAAATGACACTGATACCATCTTACACATGTCAGAATGACTAAGATCAAATCCATTAATGACACCTTATGTTGGAGAGGATGTGAAACAAGGGGAACACTCCTCCATTGTTGATGGAGTGCAAACTTGTACAGTCACTGCGGAAATCAGTAGAGCAGCACCTCAGAAAGTTAGGAATCTACCTACATTAAGACACAACGATACCACTCTTGGGCATGTACCCAAAAGATGCTCAATCATGCCATAGGTCACTTGCTCAACCATGTTTATAGCAGCATTATTCATAATAGCCAGATCCAGAAAACAACCTACATGGCCCTCAACTGAAGGATATAATAATATAAATGTGGTACCTTTACACAATGGAATATTCCTTAGTGGTAAAAAAAAAAAAAGTGACATCATGAAATTTGTAGGCAAATGGATGGAACTAGATACTCAGGGATGTAACACAGACCCAGAAAGACAAATATGGTGTGTGCTTACTCTTAGATGGATATTAAATGTAAAGCAAAGGGTAGCAGGGATGTAACAGCTAGACCATGTGACATCAGCGCATGGACATTCTACTGTCTCCTGGAGAGCCCTGGCATTCCATGTGATGTCACCAGTGTTGTGGCAACACCAACTGTCATTGGGGCATTGGGGTAGTGTCTCATGTTTCACCTACAGACATGCTGACTAGACTGAATAGGATTCTTGGGAGACAGGATGGCGAGCACAGGGAGATCAGAGGGAGGCAGAACGAAGATGGCCTTCAGTCTACATGTCACACATCAAGAAACAAATGGTTCTGGGGAAAGCACAGTGAGTCCTGGGAAAGCGATGAGGAGCTTCCTGAAGGAGGAAGGCTTCAGCTGATCCTTTCAGGAGTGGGGCTCAGGAGGGGAGAGTTTCTGAGAAGCAATGGGCCTATCCTGGTCCGCTGAGTTCTTCAAGAGCAGACCCAGAGTTGAGAATTCCCCATGGTTAGTTTGGCAGAGAGCCAGGGATGGTCAAGGCTGCAGCTGCTGTGCTTCGACCGCCTTCAGTTAATTCTGAGTGGCAAAGACTGCAACAGGAGGCAAAGAATGCAACAGGAGGCAAAGAATGCAACAGGAGGCAAAGAACCACTAATGCGGTATCAGAATGGGATGTTGTTGCACTTTATGTCTGATGTAAATACCAAGGAGGGAAAGTTTCCATCCATGTACCCAGGTCTGAGACATTCAGTTCCTTTTAGTCATGGACACAGGTTGTGAGGGCTGTTAGGCGAAGAGCACTAGGGACTCCTGGACTTCTTTGCATCTCATCAGGTATGAGATAACAATTCCAAACCAACATGGCTGGCCTTGCTTATGTCTTTCAGGGCCAGTGGGGCTGCAGTAGGGGCTCAGGCATATATCTAGCCATAGTGATTAGAGACAGACACATGGCATATGAGGCCCAGCTTAAGGAGAGCTGCTCTAATCTTTGAGGGCTTCACTGGGTTCCATGCTTTTCCTCTTCCTCAGGCCTCCTCTTGGGACACCACATGATCTTCTTGGCTTATGCCATGCATCTCTACAAATTGACTTGTGTTTATGTACCTACAGGGACTGCTAGGAAGGCATCATCCACACCCTTCTTCCTCACTGAGCAGGAGCAGCAGCTGAACCAGGTGGAAAAACTGGAACTTCAGCTACAGATGATGATGAATGACAGGAATGAACTGCGTGAATTCCTGTCCCATTACAACAATGAGTTGAACAACAGGTATTCATCATGCCCTGGTCTCTGGTGAATGTCTTGACCCTACTGTGTCAATTCCAGCAGTCCTTAGGTCACTGGAAGCTGCACCTGCAGGGTGACCTGCACAAGTAAATTTTCCTAAATGCATCTGAGAGGCAGAACTGTAGGAGTGAGATGGGACACAGGCTGTTCTGATTCCTCCTTATGAAAACCAGAGCCTGTGGCCTGAATCACAATCCACAGAGAGGGGCAGTAGGGTGTAAGATCACAACATGCATTTCAAGAGGCCTTGACAGGTGTTGGCTTGTAGGAGATGCTGGGTGCTCTGAGTTTCTATATTTGACATGATATTTATTTTTGCTCGTTGCTCTGGGAGCAGATTGGAAGGCCTGGTGATCCTTCTTGCTACATCTGTGTGTGAATGGAAGGCCTGGAGTCCATCCCAGCCCCTCTCTGGTCTTGTTCCTTGTACTGTGAGACAATGCCACCCACCTGCATTTCTCTGACATCCTAATTGTGTATGGGTTTATTTGTGTGTGAATTGCCCTATTAGGGGCCCAAATATCACAAATATGGTAGTGGCAGGTTTTGCCCTTTTCACCTCCCTCTCCCTTGATAAGCCATTAGATTAGATTCCTAAATTTAGTCCCCAAAGTTCATTCCCTTTTGTGGACACTGACTCATTCTTGAAACTAAAAAAAAAAAAAAAAAAAAAAAAAAAAAAAAAATAAACACCAAAGTCCAACAATCAAAATTCATTACT